TCAAAGTTCCCTCCCCGGGAGTGATGCCGTCCTGCCTGCTGGCCCTGCCCTCACTCGGGGAGAGATGGCAGCGGGATGCACCCCAGGGCTGGAATTGGCTGATTCTGCCTCCACAGGCTTTGGCTTCCAAAGGAAGTCGGGAGACTCAGGGAGAGCCGGGAGGCCCCTGAGATGGACACCCCCTCAGCAAATGCCTGAGATGCTGGGCTGAGGGGACAGAAGCTTTGCCCCATGAGCCCTGCCCAGGCCCAGCCCGCACCCCTGCCCCACTCTGGGCAGCCTCGCCCAGCCCATGCTCATGGCGGGAGCATTTCTGGTGGGAGCCTTGTCCCCGGTCGTTGAGGCCCCGGATCCACGGGAAAAGTGCCGTGAGAGGCCGGCTGTCCCTGTTAAGCTACCTGAGGACTCCAATTCAATCATTTATCAGGTCCCATCATAAATTCAAGGCAGCCCTCCAAGGTTTGAAGAGCTCAAATTTGACTTCCTCGGGAGTTTTACGAGGAGCGGGAGCCATTTGTCAGGGCGGACGGCTCCATCTGTTCAACGGGCGCCCTTCGGGGAGGGAGGTTCCCTGCGAAAGCCAAGCGAGGAAGGGAGGTTGGTGCTGTCAGGAGGCCACGTGTCCTCCAGGGACCAGAGGAGCCCCTGAGAGTTTCTGTTTCTTGGGATGATTAGCAATTCAGCCAGGGCAGGGGCCCGTGGGGGTGCTGGGGGGTAGGGGAAGTGGGGGAGCTGCAGCCAAATAACTGTGAGCGAAGAAACCCTGGCCGGCTTGAGCTGCAGCCAAACGCAGCTGCCTGAGGCCTCCCTGCTCAGGGCAGCACCCCGACATCTCAGCCGCCAGGCCTCTTCTTAAGGGACACTCGGCCCACAGGGCCCTGACCCTGGAGGGGAGAAAGGGTCACCCAAGCCTCCCTACTACCTCCAGCCCGTGGTGGGTACCCGCCAGCTGCAGAACGTGGGGGTTAGATCATAAAGCAGGAACGGCAGCTTCCTTGCCTCCTGAACATCCCGTCCCGGAACTGGCTGGAGCCTGGCTCAGCAGAGCCAGGAGGCGCCTGCAGCACTGGGACACAAGGCAAGCTGTGCTGAGAGGCAGCCGTACCTGGCTGGGCTCCTGGGTGAGGTCGCTGCACTGTGCCAAGGGCTCCTGGGGCTCCCAGGTGGGGTGGGGGCTGCATCTGCCATGGAGCCCAAAGCCTCCCTGGGCTCAGGAATGGGGTTCACATCAGGAAACTGCCTGAGAGTTCTCGTTCCCGCTGTGCCCAAGGAGCGAGGGCTGGAGGAGGAGGAGGAGGGTGGGAGGCGGTTCTTCCAGAACTGACCATTTGAGCCCAGGTCTGGGGGCCAGAACTGCAATCTCCCCCATGTGTGGCACATGTTTTAATCTGTCAAGTAGCTTTGTGGTCACCGTCTCAGAATCCCTAAAAGCAGCAACAATGGGAACCACCCCCCACTGAAGCTTGTGAACATGCAGATTCCTGGGTACGCCGCCAGACCCTCTATTTAGAGGTTCTAGGGTAGGGACTTCACTGAATCCTCCTACAGCTGCTCTGGGGTAGTGAACTCCCATCTGCACAAGCATTTAACCAAAGCACCCAGCGTCAGTGACAGGAGGGCAGCCGGACCGGATGACCTCCAGCTCAGTCCCAGATCCACTGACCGCCCAGGGGTCACGATCACCTGATTCTCAACAGGGCTGGTGGAGGCTGGCACCAGGATGACTCTGGACCAAGCTGGTGGGAGCACAGGGCCCTGGGGGTAAGGGCTGCTTCTCAGTGAGCGGCCCCGAGGCACATTCCCCATGGACCATCGTCACACCCTGCCCGGGGCTGCCAGCTCCAGGGGCCCATCGTGGCCTGCACCCCTGAGGAGGAGGACACGCCCGCTTTGGGTACCCCGAGCCTGCTGCCATATTTGTAAATGCTACACGCAGGGAACCAAAAAGTCCCCGGCTCAAATGAAACAAAACCCCAGAGAGCACCTGCCTGGGCCCACGAGAAAAAGCCATGTTGGCGTCCCATCCGCAGTAGGACTCAGCTTGGCAGCCTGCACTGCGCAGCGTTCAGCTCCTTTCCAAATGAGTTTGGCGTTTTTTATAAAAAGCACCTTTATAACAATCCCAGAATGAATATTTATAGGGCAGGGATGAGGGAACTGACTAATTGTGGCTGAGATCCTGCCGGATCAACACTCCTCGGCTCCCAGAGGATGTGCACAGGAGATTAAAGCTTTTCCCTTCATCCCTGGGCTCAGGGTTGGGCTCCGGGTGCAAGGCGGAGACGCAGAAGGAACTCCCTAACCCTAGCAGATCACAGCCTAGTGCTATGACCAAGGGCATCAGGGGCGGGGGAGGTTCTTAGAAATAGGGCCCTAGGGAGGAGGTGGGAGGCCAAGGCTAAGGGCAAAGTGAGAATCTGAGAATTTGGCCACTGCCATTGGGCCTCCTGTGCCGGGAGCTGAGAATTCGGTCTCTGCCATCGGGCCTCCTCTGCTGGGAGCTGAGTTACAAGCTTCGGGTAGGGCGGATGACAAGGAGGCAAGACCCAGTGTGGGCATCCATCTGGGTGGCTTGGACAGGACAGCCCAAGACCCCTGCTGTCCACCCTGGAGAGCAGAAGCTCTGAGCTCTCCCCCAGCCACCTCCTTCTGTGGAGGCCCTGGGATAGGGATAGGGAATAGGTGCCCAGAGTGGGGAGAGGGGCAGGGTATAGGAACGCAGGGTGGGGAGAGGGATAGGGAATAGGTGCCCAGAGTGGGGAGGGGGCAGGGAATAGGTGCCCAGAGTGGGGCCAGGCGTTGTTTGGTTCTGGAGCTGGAGGCAGCTGTGAGAGATGCTGGTGAAATCTGCAGGGATGAGGTACCCTCTGAGCCGTGGGGCTTTGCTGACGGCATCGCTGTGGCCCAGGACACAGGGAACAGAAGTGGGTGGCTAGGATCAGGCCCTCCTTTCTCCCTGGAAATGGAAATCTGTCTCAACCCAGAAAATACCTCTGCAAGAGCCAGTGGACTTCCTGGGGTGAGGGACCCGCCAGCTCCCTTCCCTGCCTGTGTCCTTGTCCCCTGCAGGACCGGCCCTGAGTGGCTGGGGGCTGGGCACCATTCCTGACTGTCCAGCAGTGCTGGGCTGGGGAGGGTCCCCACCATGGGTATGTCCATGGAGGGGGCTCCTCTCTCAGTCCCAGCACTGCTCCCCAACCCTGACCTTGCTCTTCCACTCACCCCCTGCAAAGATGAGCAAAGTTGCAGCTCCAAGGGGCTTGGGTGGGCAGCTCAGAGGAGCCCAGGCTGCCCACTTCTGTTGACTTGAAATGACATTTATTTGCTTCTAGGATGGGTCAGTGTGAGTCCTCCACAGAGGAGAAGCAGGCAGACAGAGAGAAACCCTTATCACCCCCACCCAACACCCACGCCCACACTGAGCTGGGGCAGAGAGCAGAGGGATGCCGCAGGAGGAGCCAGCCTTCGGAGTCCTGGCGGGGGTGCCCGGAGAACTCAGAGGTCAGCCTGGGCCCCCAGGGCCCTGTTTTACGTCCTTTGCCCCTCGGGGTCCTCCCCGTATCCCGGGGGTTCTGGGTTGGTTGGACTCATGGATGGTGTAGGTGTACCGGAGGCCGCCCAGGGCTGACCCAGAGCCTTTGAGTGACCCGTGCTGGAGGCTCCAAGCAGTGCCACGTGGGCCTCAAGAAGTGTCCTGAGTCCGAGATGGCAAAGCTGTCGCCATTCTGAACGGGATGTCCATGGCTGGAAGCAAATTGCTCTCCCCTAACATCATGACAATGAAATAGAACTTTCTTCATGAGCTATCAGAGAGGCTTTGCCCACTGCCACTCAGGTAGTGCGTGCACATTTGTTTGGCTCCGTGTGCACCTGTACCCTGAGGTTGGGCAGGAGGCGGCCTCCCAGGCACGATGCGGGAGGATGGTGAGGTCCTGTTCCTTTCGCAGTGTTGTGGGACATGCCGGGTGCCCACGGGCACTTCAAACACAGCTCTGCTCTGTGGGGCACACAGGTGTGCACAGCCTCCTGGGAGCTCCGCAGGACACCTCATGCTTGTGTGAGCTGCGTGCTGGGGTGTGGGGCAGGCAGAGGGGACGGTGGCAGAGCACTGCAGGCCACGTCTCCTGCTGGGAGCTTGGACGAGTCCATGGGGACCTCTTAAAGGCTCTGAGAAGTCCTGCAGGCTGGACGCACTCTCCATCTGATGGACACAGAAGCCACTGTCGACATCACTCTTAGGAGCGCCCTCGGGCCCCTGATGTGCCTCAGTGAAAGGCCAGGCAGGGAGGAGCTGCCCATCGGTAGGAGCCCGGACACTCCCTGGGCACTTTCCGTCTCTGTGGAGCTGCCCGCTCTGTGCATTTCCTGTAAGTGGAATCCTGCAGCCTGCGGTCTCCGTGTCTGCTTCTCTCACTCAGGCCCTTCCGTGTTGCCGCATGTGAGCAGTGCTGAACAGAGCTCCAGATGCTTTAGCGAGGCCTTGGCAGAGGGGGGTCAGGGCCAGCCTAGGGACCACAGTCTGCAGCCCCACCCTGCGCTCCCTGTCCCTGGACAGGTCCCGCCCGCCCAGCCCCGCCTGCCTGTGGATCCAGCCCCCAATGGCCAGACAGGCCAGCAGAGGGGCCGGTCCTTGGGCACAGCCCCTGGAGGCTGGGCAGCGGCATCCTCCAGTTGTCCGGACTCCCCTGAGAGCTGCACTGAGCCCCCTTCCACGTCTGCCCCTTCATTCTCCCCATAGCAGTCTTCCCTGGCCCGGAGCAGCCCTGCACAGCTCTCGGGGGCACAGTGATGGTGCCTGCTGGACAGGAGCTGGCCAGGAATTGCAGAGCACAGGGAGCAGGGGCCTCCGGAGGCCGTGGGGAGGCCCCTCCTCCACGCCAGCGACAGGGAGTCTCCCAGGGGAGCTCTGCTCGCCCCCCGCCCCACCACCGATGCTCGTCTGGGCTGGGAGGGTCTCCCGGAAAGATGTGTGAGGGACAGGCGAGGTCATGAGTCTCCCATGGCTGCTGTAACAAAAGCCACAGTTTATTGTCTTGCAGCTCCGAAAGGGAAAGAAATCTAAAGTCCAGGTGTTGGCAGGGCTGGCTGCTGGAGGCCCTGGGGAGAATTCGGGTACTGCTCCCTCCGGGACCTGGAGGCTCCTGCGCCCCTTCACCCGTGGCCCCTCCTCCACCTTAAATCCAGCTGTGCTGTGTCTTCCAGGCTCCCCCTGACTCTGACCCTCCCACCCCCTCTCCTAAGGACCCTGTGAGGACACTGGGCCCACACACAGCATCCGGCTCCGTCCCTCCTGCAGAGTCCCTGCTGCCACATAAGGTGGCATGGCCACGGATTCTTGGACATCCTTAGGGGTAGTGGGCATTCCTCTGTCCCCACACAGGGAATATGCCAGCAGCAGACGGACTTGGGCAGTGCTAACGCTGAGGTCTCTTACGGCCCTCCCTGGCAAACCTGTGACTGGCCCTGGGACAGTGTCTTTGGCCAGAAGGGCAGCCACCCCCCACCCTTCCTCTCTCCCAAGTGTGGCTGGGGCATCAGGAGAGGCAAGGTCAGACCTCAGCAGTAGCTGCCCCTCCTCAGTGGGCAGCCCGAGGGGGCCCAAGCTCACGGTCTGGGTGGCCCTGTGTCCCAGGGCAGAGGTCACTGAGAGAGGGTTGGAGCTGGACTCTGAACTGGTTTTTTTTTTTTTTTTTAAAAACAGGTGAAATGCACGTGACATAAAATGACCACTTTAACGAGTGTGGTTCAGTGGCATTTAGTGCATTTGCCACACTGTGCAGTCACCACCTCTGTCTACTCCCCAGACACTTTTGTCACCCCCTGAGGAGCTCTGGAGCCCATTAGGCAGTCACTCCTATTCCTCTCCCCACCCCCGCACCGCGGAATCTGCTTTCTGTCTCCATGGAGCTGCCGCTCTGTGCATCTCCTATCAGCGGAATTGTGCAACCGGCGGTCTCTGAGTCTGCTTCTCCCGCCAAGCAGGGTTTTCAGGCACTTCATGTTACCGCCCGTGTCCCCACATCATCCCTTTTTAGGGCTGAATGCTATTCCCCTGCATGGATATGCCGCACTTCATTTATTTATTCATTTATTTAGAGACAGAGTCTCACTCTGTTACCCAGGCTGCAGTGCAATGGCATGATCTCAGCTCACTGCAACCTCTGCCTCCCGGGTTCAAGCAATTCTCCTGCCTCAGCCTCCCGAGTAGCTGGTACTACAGGCACTCATCACCACACCTGGCTAAGTTTTATATTTTTAGTGGAGACGGGGTTTCACCGTGTTGGCCAGGCTGGTCTTGAACTCCTGACCTCAGGTGATCTGCCCGCCTCGGCCTCCTAAAATGCTGGGATGACAGGCCATGCTTTCTTTATCTATCATCAGCTGACAGGCCTGTGGCTACCGCCACCTTTTGTCTGCTGTGAATAGTGCCACTGGGAAGACTCCTATGTGCCTATTTGTTTGAATATTTCTTTTTATTTTGGGGAGCATGTGTTGTAATAGTCAGGTCTTGCATTGCTATAAAGATAAATCTGAAGCTGAGTAATTCATGAGAAGAGGTTTAGTTGGCTTGCAGTTCTGCAGGCTGTATAGGAAGCATGGTGCTGGCATCTGCTGGGTTTCTGGTCAGCCCTCAGGAAGCTTACAGTCATGGCAGAAGGTGAAAGAGGAGCAGGCTTGTTGCATGGCCAGAGCCGGAACAAAAGACAGAGAACTGTGGGGGAGGTACAACACACTTTTCAACAACAAGATCTCGTGAGAACTCACTGTGGTGAGTGGGTGCACGGTACCCAGCCATGAAGGATCCGCCCCCAGGACCCAAACACACCAGGCTCCACCTCCAGCACTGGGGCTCACATCTAAACATGAGCTTTGGAGGGGACGTGCAAGCTCTGTCATAGGCCCAGGAGTGGAATTGCTGGGGTTGATGACTTCATTTTTCGAGGGACTGCCAGACTGTTTCCACAGTGGCTTCCCTGCATAAGGTGGTCAGGGGTGGGTGAAGGGGCCCCATGTGTGGCTGGGCAGCAGTGACAGGGCTTGGTCAGGAGCCAACACCCTGCTCCCTGCAGTGAACAAGAAGTGCACAGCCTGAGAAAGCCCTAAGTGTTCACGGCCACCCTGTACCTACACAGCTGTGGAGTCAGCTCCAGGGAAGTGGCCTGCTCAGCCTCAGTCTCTGCTGGGAGCCCAGTGTTCGTGGATTTCCAAAAAGAGGGGTGCCAGGTGCACGTTCGACTCACCGAGTAGGCCGCTGGTCCGGGCACAGTGGTGGGCCTCTGCTGGGACGTAAGATACCATGGAAAATACTAGCTTCGAGAAACCCGCCCCACGGAGCACCTTGGCTGCAGGGGGCTTCGTCCGGCTGTGCTGGGTGACTAGGGACAGCTCATGCGTGGGGCAGCTGCGGCTGGAATCGTGTGGACAAAGTGGGAACAGCCCTCATCACAGCCACTGCCGAGTGGGACCATGGCTGCCACCGCCTCTGGGGTTGGGCATCCTGGCAGGTGTCCCCGCCCTCTGGGGCCTGACCCTCCAAAGGCACTGGCCCTGCCGTGCACCTCCCCCACTGAATAAGCCCTCAGCCTCGCCCCACTCACAAAGCTGAACACACATGAATGCGGCTTCAGCGAGAGTCCCCCATCCTGCCCGCTGCCCAGCTGTCCGACTGTCCAGAAATCCATGGATTGATGGATCAGTTGATTGACTGAGTCATTCATTCATTCACTTGGTCCTCTGCGCTCATGTCCAAAGGCTGAAGGAAGGTGAGGAGGCAGCCCTGCCCAGGGCTCTCCCTGAGCTCCCCCTTCCTCATCACCCCAAGCAGGTGCTGCGGCTCCCCTTCCCAGTTGAGGAAGCTGAGGTCAGAGAGATGAGAAACCTGCCCTCATTCACATCCAGGCCCAGGCTCGGAAGGGCCTCCCCCTCCACCGGGGCACAGTGATGCTGGGCACTGACACCGGCGAGGCGCCCCGGGGCCACCTCCTCCAGCCCGTCCTGCTGGAGCAGGAATGCCAAGGAGTTGTGGGCGGTGGGACCCTCCCCTGGACAAGGGTCCATCTCAGGTTGTCTGCCCCGCCGGTTAAGGGTCCCCCTCTCCCTGGCAGCCAGGGCCTGGTCACAGGTGCCCCTGGGACCCTCACCTTGACTGTGTGAATCTCTGCCCACGATAGAGACCCTGAACCCACGGCTGTGGCGGGTGCAGGCGAGGAGGATGTCCCTGCCGGGGCGTGTCTGCCACACTCTGAGCACAGACATCCCAAGGGGGTTGGGACGCCGCCCGGCCCTGGGGGATAAGGGGCCACTTGGGACACTCAGCGGTGACCCAGGGTGAGGCTGGAATCCAGGATCAGGTGGGTCCCTCCCAGCAATGCAGCCCCCTCCGCAGACCGGATGGTGTGGCCCTGTAGGAAGCGCTGTGGCGTGGGGCTCCATGACCACCCTTGGCTTCTGGGACACCGCTGCTCTCCTGCGCCCGCCCTCCGCTCAAATTGTGTGGTGAACTCCCCTCGTGTGCGAGGTGCCCTGTGGCCAGAGTCTGCATGTGCCTCCACTTACCCAAATCCCAGGGGCCTCTCGCTGGGAGCTGCGCCCGCCCAGCCAACCCCAGGACCCTCTGGGCTGTGCCGCAGCCTCTGCGTGGGGGAGCCTTTCTCCCGTTCGCTCTGGCACCATCCAGGCCACAGTCTCTGTGCTCCCCACTCTCCAGCCTGGCTCCCCTCTGGATGCACTTAAGAGTCCTGGGGCTGGGGCAGGTTCAGATCTGGGACGGACAGGGATGTAGGGGCAGGAAGATAGGCTCTGGGTCTTTGCATGCTGGGCAACTGGATTTTCCTCCCGAGTCTCAGTTTCATCACCTGCAAAATGGTCTCGGAAGGCGCCCTGGTGACAGGCCGTCCCCCTCCCAGGGGATGCACCCTGTTTCCCCAGGGCCCAGACCATCTGACATCCCCCTTGCTCTTGTGACCACATCTGCTCCAACAGTGGATCTTTAGGGAAAACTTTCAAGGCACAGCCAGGACTGGGCAGCCCTCCCCAGGGCACTGTGGCTGGGCAGGGCCTCCTGATGCTCCAACCTCTGCCCTCCACCCTCACCCTCAGCAGAGCAGCCACAGGGGCCCTGCCACAGACGTGCCAGACTGTCCAGGCCCGTGCCCCTCAGCAGGACACCTGCAGCCCTGGCACTAGCCTACAAGGCCTGGCGTGGTCTGACCCTGCCCGCAGCTCAGCCCCAGGCCACCCATCCACCGCCACTGCCCCGGCAGCAGCCATGCTGGCCTCCTGTTTCCAGCGGCTCTGCCCGCTGGACACACCAGGCCCCCCTTCCCGCCTCCAGACCTCTGTCTCCCTGTGCACACTCCCCCTCCGGGATGCTCTTCCGGGACCCTTCCCCGCTGCCCCTCCAACATCACTGGGGGACCTGTTCATTCACCCCCACTCAGGCCTTCCCTGACCTCTGACCTGCAAGGCCGCCCCAGGCCCTGCTCGCTGCTCCCCAGTTGCTCCTTCCGGCCCCCGTGCCCAGGGCTGGGCCTGTCTCCACATTCCCTGGGCTGTGCATTTTCTCTCCCCTCTGCTGACTGATACAGCCCCAGCTACATGAGCCTTCTGAAGCTGACACAAATCAAAGCTGCACTGAGTAAAACATCCAGGTCTGCAGGGCACCAGCCCCGTTTCTGAGAGCTTGGCAGCCACTCGTGGCCAGCAGGAGCCGCGTGGGATGGGGCAGGGCATTCGCTGTCATGGCGTGTTCCACCGGATGGGGCCTCATGGTCAGCCTGGCGAGGGGGGGGTAAGCCTGTTCGTCCCCTGCTTGGGTCCTTGCTCGGGCGTCTCAGTCGGGTGAGGGCTGTGGTGGCCTTGTTGTCGGGGTTTACTGCTTGCTCCTTCATTCATTCACGCCTTAAACCACCTGTGGACACCAAGGGGAAAGTCTCGGGGGCCTAGGCCTCTCTCCCCTCTCTTCCCCTTCTGCTCCTCTACCCCGTCTCCCCCTTCTCTCCCCTCTCCCCTCCCTCCTGTCTCTCCCACCCACTGCGGTCTCCCTTTCAAACCATGGTGGAGTGGGCCTCGGGCAGCATGGTCCTGGGCCCTGGCAAGGGCAGTTCTGGGACAAGGTGGGGACCCGACTGGCCGGAACACACCCAGCTCCAATCGATGCTGGGTGTGGGACCTTGGGCTAGTGAGCACCCACCCCAAGCCCCAGTTCCTTCTTGGTAAAGTGGGGACAGCAAAATGCCCTCCTCTTATGGGTGCCTTGAGCTCAGCATAGTCCCCGCATAGCCACCGCAGAAGCTTCTGGAACACCAGGCAGCCTAAGTGCTGTGTGCCGGCTGTTACTGTGAGGCTGGTGCTGTGGGCAAACAAAGGAACTGCTCTGTCTTCTGACTCTGTCCTACAGACCCTAGGGACCGTCGGGGTCTGGCCACCCACACCAGCCCTTCTCCTGGGAAGAGATGGCCCTGTGCCCATGCCCTGCTCCTTGGGTGTGGGGCTGCTGTGAGGAGGGTGATTTATGGCCACGTCCGCTGCACACCCTCCTCTCTCTCACCACCACCACGGAGCACCCGAATCCTTTACAGAGCCTCCTGCACAGGCCGCAGACTGCTCCCCACCTCCCCCGCTGTGGCTGTCTATACCCCTGACCCCAGCTGCAGGCCTGGCCTGCCCCCCTCAACTCTGCCTGGAGATGGCAGGCCGGAGGAAGTGGGGTGCAGGGGAGGGGCCTTGCAGGGGGAGTTCGGACACCGCCCCTCACACCACGCACTCCGGCTGCCAGTGGGAAGCCGAGTGGCTATTTAGTTTCCAGAAAAGTGCTTGGACCTGGTGGAAGCTTAAAACCTCCTGGCCTCCTTTATGGTGAGACGTGGGGTCTTTAGTGGGGTGTGCAGGGCCGGGAGCAGGGCCTGTCATCACCCAAGAAGCCTCTGGACTGGGCAGGTGCAGGGAGCGCTGCTCTGTCCCTCGATGTCGCTGGCCGGAGGACACCAGAGTGGGTGTTGGTGTGTGTGGCGAGTGTGGCTGGGGCTCCGGCTTCTCCCCATGACTCTGCAGAGCTGGCCTTGGGATATGGGGAAGGGGCCATGAGCCCAGGAGGTAAACCTGGAGGAGAGACCCACCTCAGCTCCTGTGGGCCAGCCTGGAGGGTATGTAGGTTCCTCACAGGGTCCCCTGGGATTAGATGCAGCTGAACCTGTTCTAAGCGGCATGGGATCCCCGGCCCTGTGTCCCTGACTGGCTGGAACCGCAAGGGGATGCCTTCCTAAGTCGGGGAGGTATTGGGGACATTAATGAGGTGGCTTCTGAACAGGAGGATCTATGCTCTGGACAGGACTTGCAAATAGCAAAGCTCATTGTCCCCACCACACGGGCCTGCACCTGCCTCCAACACGCGGGTCCCCCGACCACTGTGGTCCCCTGTCCTTCCGTGTCCTGGTCCCCGGTCCTGTGGGGCCCCGGAGAGATGGGACGACCAGCCAGCATCACACAGCCTGTGAGGACAGTTCCGGCCTCTGGTCTCTGAGTCCAGGCCCTGCAAGGGCAGATCCCCGTCAGGCCCCGTCCCAGGCCCTCGTCTGTTACATAATTCAGGCGTGAAATCCCGGAAGGGGGAGCTCCTGAGCCCGACCAGCACCGGGGAGTGGGGTCTCCCCATCACACACCCTTGGTGGCAGGGCCCGGCTGGGGGCGGCAAGCAGGTTGGCCTCTGTCCAAGGTGACTGGCATTTGTCATGACTTGGGTTGGCTTAAGAGTCTCCAGAAACCCAGGTGGCTCCATCACCACCTGATCCTGGCCCCGATTCTAGGCGAAAGGGCAGAGCTGATGGGACTGTGGAGGGGGCCACCCCCTCCTGGATGGCCTGGGTGGTGGGCTCAGCCCACTGGAGGCTCAAAACAGTGAAGGAGGCTGTAGCCTCCTGCCCCCCAACCCCCGGCCCTGCACCCTGGGAGATGCCCGGGTCTCCCTAGGGCACCCTAGGAGCCGGCTGGCATGGTATGGAGGCTGCTGCCCGGCTACTGAGGAGGCGCCTCTGTACTGGCTGGGCTAAAAATAGCGGGGGGATCTCGGGCAGGGACAGCCGGTGGGAGGCCTGTCAGGGAGGGGCCGGGAGGGGCAGAACAGCAGCCTGGGCCCAGGACCCGCCGTCAATGGCGTGGGTGCTCCCACCCTGTTCCCGGTGGCCGGGCCAGCCGCGGCCCAGCTGACAGGCTATTTTTTCCCCTGCTTGACTAAATATGGTCAGGGAGCGCAGCCCGAGGGGGCCACTTGGCCAGGGCCGCGTGTTTGGGATGCTTGGCCGGGTATATAAGAACTGCAAAGGTGAGGCCGGCTCCTGACCCGAGGGGGGCCCCCATGCCCGCTCTGGCCTCTCAGGTCAGGCCCTCCCCTCCCCTCCCCTCCCCCGCCCCTGTGTCTAGGCGAGCCGGCTGTGTGCCTGCGAGAGCGTGCACACCCGCCAGACCTTCCCTTTTGTTCCACCCTGACCTCTACCTTCTCTACCTTGTGCTGACCCCGCTGGGGTGCAGGGGCTCCCTGCGGAGGAGGCCAGGACTCAAGGTGTGCAGCTCGGCCGCCTCTCCCTAACTCTGCACCAGCGCCTCCTCTCTCTCTCTCTCTCTCTCTCTTTCTCTCTCTCAAGATCTCCCTCCCGCTAAGTCTGCTCTGCTGCAGGAGGGCTGGGGGAAGGGCAGGGGTGTGGAGAGGGGGTGCCTGGTGTCTTCTTTCTCTCTCTGCCCCCCCACCCCCAAGTGCGGACGCGTCGAGCTCCGGCCCCCACCCCTGCATTCGGGATTGGCTCCCGGAGGAGGTGGCTGGTGCTGCCGCCGCTGCAGCATCTCCTAGGGAGCCGCGACCCTGCGCCGGCCGCCGCTGCCGCTGTCACCAGCCCGGCCCCAGGGGTGCCCTGGGCTCCGCGGTGAGTCCTGCTCAGCCCATCACCACCGCTGGGCCGCCGGGACGGCCCCTGAAAACTTGCCGGGCACCGCGGTGGGGGTGTGCCTGCCGGCGCGGTGGGTGCTGCGGGTGCCGGCGCCGTGTGGGTGCCCGCGCCGTGCGGCTCCGGCGGGGGTGCGGTGGAGTTTTCTCTTCGCTCGCGGCAGCATCCACATTTGGAAAACTGCAGAGCCAGCAGCCGGCAGGGCCGGGAGGGCGCGTCCAGCTGGGAGGCAGGAACTTTGACTTGCGGGCATTTTGCAAGAAAGCAGCCACCCCCCACGCGGGCAGCGGATGGCACGGGGGCTTCGGGGCTGGGTGGGGGGCGCGATTCACCTGCCGCTTTGCAACAAAGCCCCGGCAGCCGGGCATGGGGCTAAACTTACCTTGAACTTGCGGTACCCCCCACTGAGGAGCTGGTGGGGGGCGGGGATTCCCGAGCTGAGCGGCGGGCGAGGCTGCCCCTGGTCGGACGCGGCACTTCTGCAGCTCGCCCAGCCACGTCAGGGTCAGGAGGCGTTTACAGGGGCAGGGCGCGGGGGGAGGGGGGCACACGTGGGCGGAGACTAGGGGGGCTTTGGGGAGAGCAGCCCTGGTGGTCTGCGTCTGTGCGGGTCCCTGCTGAGGAGCTTGACTTCCGCGTGGCCTCCCGCGGGGCTGATGCTGGGGGCCGGGTGGCATTCACCTCTGAAGAGCCCCGGGAGGAGGCCCCGGGCACCAGGAGCCAGCTCGGTTCACGGTGGGGTCTGCCTGGAGGTGGCTGGGTGCTCTTTTTCTATCCAGATGGGAAACTTTTTGAAAAGTGACTACAATTCATTTGTGAGTGGGCAGAAGTCGTGTGGGCTCTGGCTGGGTCTGGGGTGACTCTCCTGCCCTTTGGGACTCCCAACTTTCCCCTTGACCCCCAGACCCCATCCAAATGAATGCCTCCGCGGTGGGGAGGGCTTGAGCCAGGCTGCAGGAGTGTCCCAGGCTCTGAGGGCTCGTGTGCCAGGGAGCCGGGGACGTTGAGGAGGCCTCTTCCCTGGACTCCGAGCCAGTTATTGCGGAGGCCTTGGGAGGGCACAGATGAGCGGTGGAACCCGGTTGCCCCCGAAGTTGAAGCTCAGGCTGCCCTTTTTGTATCCTTGGCTATGTGAAAATGATAAATCACAGCAGCTACATGGAAATGGGACATCAGCTTCTGCTTCTTTCTGCCATTTGCTCTTTCCTCTGTAGAGGGGATGCCAGAGCCTTAAGCACAACCCCTATCCCCCACCCCCACGTGAAACTCCAACCCAGCCATGCCTGGCTGCAGACCCACAGCCACACAGCCACAGCATGCTCAGTGGCCTCTGCACACTGCAGGCTCTGCGGAGACGTTGCCCTGCCCTGGGTGGTAGAAGAGAACCAATTCGCTCAGGGCTGTCCCCTCGCAGGGACAGGCTGCCTGGAGGAGCAACAGTCATGCTGGACCTCTCTTCCTGACCAGGACAATGGGAGGTCCTGTCATGTCCCGGAGCTGCTGTCCCAACCCACGCCAGGGTCAGTGCCAGGACAGGGGCCAGGGCCCAGCTGGGCCCTGCCACTCAGCAAGTCCCCTGTGTCTGTGCCCGGCCTGCACCCCCCACTGGCGCCTCCCTGGCCCCCATCCCCATCAGGCACCTGCAAAGCCTTCTTTCCACCTCTCACCACCTCATGTGCCAGGCTCGCCCTGGGCCACTGTGAGGCCTGGAAACCCTGCAGCCCTCTTCCTCCTCCTCCTCCTCCTCTTCCTTTTCCTCCTCCTCTCCCTGCTCCCAGCAGGTTAGGGATGGCTTTCCTTCCTGCTGGTGAGGGCCTAACCTTGAGGTCCCATTGGTCTCCTTCAGGTTCTTCCTCCACATTTTTCAGACTCTGGCTTCACAGCTGGTCATAGAAGTTGGCAGGGAAGGAGGGAGCCTCTGCTTCCCACTCAGAGACATTTTTAAACGCAATGAAAAACATATCGATACAATTAAGTATTCCAAAGTGCTTAGTTTGCCACTTGCTAAGTTTACTTAAACCCTCTTTAACAGGCTCATTAGGAGCTGGTGAGCACCGGGAAATTCATTAACAGGAAGGCGGCCCCCCGCATTTGACTGTAAATTGGTATTGATCAGGGGCTGGTAGGGGCTGGTGGAGGCTGGGCGGCTGGCCACAAAGAGCCAGGTGTGGGACCAGCCTCCCGGGGGTGCCACAGCAGTGGTGCTGGGCAGGTGACGGTAGCTGCTGACCCCCGGTGCCCGTGTGAGCTGCTGGCTCTGCGCAGCTGCCGCTTCAGGTGGGCCGCACTGCGCGGCGGTTTGGGGTGGTGACGCTGCGAGGCGGGGGCAGGGGAGAGGGTGAAGAAGAGCAAGAGAAGGAGGGAGAGAACCGGGGGAGAGACGCTCCCTCGCCCACTGGGTGCCTGCTGTGGCCAGGCTGAGGCACCTAGGGAGTTGCACCCCTAGTGGACGGCCTCTCAGGAGATCCCAGCCACTCTCTGGGAACCTGGAATCCTCCAAGCATCGTCTTTCTCGCTCACATCTTCAGAGAGAGGTACTGAGCCCTCTCTCAGGGACACAGCATCCCGGGAGGCAGCCTTCACCAGGGACCTGCCCAGGAAACCGCCAGCTGCCCAGGTAAGGCCCTAGGGCACCTCTCGGGTCTCTGGTTTGTAGTCCCTTGTCTGGCCTTGGGAGCAAGGAGTTGTCCAGCTCCCAGAGAAGGAGGAGGCTGGTCCTGTGAGTGGGGTGCTGGGCGGGGTGCCCCCTCTCTGGGCCTGGCTGGGACAAGGGGGCCCAGGGGGACAGGAAAGTGCTGGCTTTGAAAGTTCGGGACATGGATGGTGCCTCCCTGCTCTGGGGTGAGGGTGGAGGGGCAGCCTGTTTCTTCCATGGATGCAAAACCGAGCTACTGCTGGGACCAGGGACAGGCGCTCGAGACTTTCTGGGGCTCACTGTCCACTTCTGCCTTTCTGGATCGTGCGAGTGTGTGAGACAGACAGAGAGAGAGGTGGATTCAGGGATGGAGGGGCGCCGAGGTCAGAAGGGAGCAGGAAGCCCTGGGCCCCTGGGGGTGGCTGGACACCAGGCAGCAGTGGCAGGAAGGCTGTCCTGCTCACAGAGAGGGCGCCAGCAGTGGATGCCAGGGAAGAAGTTCCACTGCCTCTCAGCTGCCTTCTCTACATCGCAGTGGGGTCAGCTTCTACCCGGGCGGCGTCCCGAGGTCTTGGAACTACATATTGACTGCCTGCTTGGGAAACATACTTCTTTATATGCCCATATGGACCTGCTAAGCTATGGAATGTAAAGAAGTATGTATCTCAGGCCGGGAACTCTCTCGCCGCACTGAGGGGCACTCCACGCCACGGGGGCCGCTGGGGCCGACAGCCAGCCAGGCGGCTGTGGCGGGGGTGAGCCCGGGGCGGCAGGCTGCCTGGGCGTCGGTGGACGGTCATGTCCCCGCCAGCATTGTTCTGTCACTTTGCCTATGTCAGCAGGTGGAAGTGCTCACCAGACATTAAATATTCAGCTTGCTGACTGCGGCAGAGGGGAGGCGGCCTCCAGCAGGCATGGGGTCCGACGCGGGGCTGGTGAGGGCTGGGGGGTCGGGGCCTTGGCTGGAGAGCACAGAGTGATGGCGGCGGCTCTGGGGGCTCCACTGATGGCCGCCCTGGAAGAGGCCATCGGCCAGCAGAAAGGGCCGCTTGTGGCCAGGGCAGAAACTGCTCAGAGGCACAAGACAAGAGCAAGTTTGGAAAAGGGCAGGTGGCTGGATGCAGGAAGGAGGGAGGGGCTGGGCAGCACGTGGGAGAGGCTGTGGAGGAAAGACATCTCTTGTGCCTGCGTCCAGCCCTCCCGGCCGCAGGGCAAGGCAGAGGAACTGGGAGGCATGTAGCCTCCAAGGAGGGCACAGCCTGCACGAGGAGATGCTGGGGACACGGGCAGGGTCAGGGCCACCGCTGCCCTTAGGCCCCACTCCTCTGCTGAGGGCACCTGGACAGGGTCAGAGGAGCTGTCTGTGTAGCTCTGAACCCACAGCCCACCCCAGGGGCCTGGGAGCCATTCGATTTTGCCAAATGTCTCCGGCTCATGCCGCCCCCACCTGTACCCCCGCCAAAGCCCCGGTTTAGCTCTCTGTTCCGCCGAATCCAAGCTGAGGCATGTTTTGCTGTGAATGCAGGTGAGGCTTTGGCAGAAAGCGGTGTGTGGCCTAGGGCACCTCGCACCGCCCGTCGGGGGCCTGAGAGCCACCTGCTCTGCCGCCATCCCAGTCCCGACCCGAGAAAGGACTGGGAGGATGTCCCGGGGCCCAGGGAATGAGGACAGGTCAGGATCCGTCCGTGAAACCCTTTTCCCCAGTGCTGGTCCTTCAAGGAGAGGATGGGTAGCGGGGTCGTAGGCAGGGGCTGGGCCACTGTGTGAGGGGCGTTTGCTCGGCTTCGTTTCTGAGTCTCAGAT